GAAGAAAATGTTTCGGTCGCTACCCGGATTCGAACCCGGGACCTTTGAATGAGAGGCCAACACCTTAACCTGTAGGCCACGAGAGCCCCCTAAAAATTGTTTTCAGTGTCTGTGTATATACACATTATTATGTGTATGTCTGTGTGTGTATGTGTGCTTGTGTGTGGGAGTGTGTATGTGTGTGTGTTTGTGCGAGTGTGTGTTAATTTAAGAAGGAGAAGGTTGATATAATGGCCAGACAGACAGACAGACATGTATTGGGGTATGGGGTATTGGCATTTACATGAGAAAACCAAAATGAAATGGCGGGCACGCTGTCAGTCCGATGGGGCTCTAAAGAGGTGAAGACAGAATAAAAAACAAAACTAATACAATCAAAATAATCAAATTAAAATGCTGGCTCTTTATGGTTTCTTTCATAAAACTACAGATAACCATTGTGTGAATTGTATGAGAGTGACAGGGGGCTTGCATGGCACCTTATATGGTTCACAATATTGCAACTGATCATTTTGTAAGAATGGAGCTGAGGGAGAAAGGTTAAATGTTCGATTGTTTGAAAGAAAGCTCATTGAAGTGGCATGTAAAGGGTTGCACAGTGATGAGTATTCCATTCCCACTTCCCGAAAAAATTATAACTGTATTTTTATTGTAAGAAGTTGTTTTTTTACGAAACTACATTACCTAAAAGTGTGTTCTGACGATCATATAATTGTTTGTTATTGTTCCATTACTAGCAATTATAATTTAAATTACAGGCTTTCAGAAACGTTTTTTTTTAACAAAAAGTAAATTAGTGTTCGTTATTGAGCTTTCGTTGTCGTTTGAAGTCACAATGCTTACGTTCTAAGTGGAAGGGCCTCTACCACAAATCTTTACCGGTCTATTATTGTTTTTGTTGCTCAGAGGATAAGTTTTGTCTTTTTTTAAAAGAAAGTGCAGGGTAAACCAGAAGTTCATACTAATGAAAAAATCACCACGGTGCATAGATTCATTCCCATATTAATGAACAGTTTATTTATCTTAAATATGTGCTCGCTTTCAACATTAATTAATGTATCGTAAAACTAAAGTAAAAAACATTGTACACAAATACATTGAAACTGCACCATTTATGTCTTCAACGTACACAAAGTGAAAGTTATTTTAAATTAGATTTAAAGTGCTCAACATTAGAAAAGAGATAATCAAGCTCCATGTGTGCGATACATGTATATTATTTTCCAATTGCATCTCAAATTGTGTAAGCCCATTTCTAGTTTATTCACAGCATACCGTTTGTGTAAATGAAGCCCATGACGATTCCCACCTACTCGGCCACCCCCCCACCTCCCCCTCCTGCATACAACTTTCTTAATACAAATCACCCCCCACCCCCCA